AAGACTGGATTTGAGACTAGCTTATCGTTGCTAGCTCTGATATCATGTTAGATCAGAGATGAAATAGAGAAAATATTGTGTAAACAGACGTGATTTCTTCACTGTTATTCTGTTATGCTTTATACACATGTACAGGAGGTTTGTTGAGAAGGGAAAGGAGAATATACAGGAAGGTGGAGTTGAGGTATCCGAATAAGAGGGATACAAACAGAAAAGAAATAAAAGAATTAATATTCTTTTTATCTAATATTAGGGATCCCCGAAAATTGTATCTTTGTCTATTGCTCTTATACATGGATATTGATTGAACCAACTTAGTGCAAAATACTGAAAATAGGAATCAATAAGAATCATAAAACCAAATCTAGCAAAGAGAACACATATCTGATATATTGTATTGTCTTTGTTGATAGTATAAAAGTAAATCGGTCTTCTTATATTAGATCCACCATTAGATACAAACTAGGGACTAGTTCGATATATGACTTGGTCTAAAAACAATAGTAAGTGGTAGCAAGAGCAGATCTCAGTATGTGCATATTTATCTATCATATACATACATATTGTCATGAAGAAACATTCATTTCCTATTTTCAACAATGATTTTTAGGTAGATGAATGAAGACTTTTATACATGGATCAATTATGAGTTTGAGAAATACCAACCTTAACTGCCGAGAGTGGTTTCTTGTGGTTGATTTTCTGCTGGTTGCTTGCTATGTCCTCTGCCCCTTGCTTCTATGTTTCTCCTTTCCTCTTTCGATCAACTGCTTTCTTCTCCTATCGAACTTGCTGTGTATTTTTGTGATATTGTTCTCTCTATTTTTCTGGAAAAACCAATGAACTCCCCCTTTTTGATAATTAGGCCTCCTTATCACTCTCTTTGTATATCGTTCTCCAATCCTTTCCCTCCTCCCTTTTGTAGTGTGCTGGCTGCTTCTCCTTTGCTCTTGAGGTGGTGGTCTGAACCACCTATTGTGTTGGCAGTTTGGTGTTGGTTCTTTGGAAGAGGTGGCCGAAATCCTCCTTTTGAGAGGCTCTGCTACTCTGCTGCTCCTTTAGATAAGATAAGGATGATGGGTTTGGTTGATTGGGTTGACCAGAGTTGACCCGGGCTGACCATACTGGATTGGGCCGAAGTATGGGCCTGGGTTGTGGGCTCTTGTTTTGGGCTCTTCTTCTAATATATTTTTTTTTCTTTTTGCAGGCCCCTAGTCTGTTTCTGGCCCAAAATGATGATCAATGGAGGTCCAAAAGAAAAAGAAAGAAGTCTTTTATTTTGTCATCCTTAATTCCTTTCCTTGTCAAATGTAATAATTATTAATTGTACATTTGTATTTTGTAATTATGCATGTAATCATTTTTGTGACTTATAATTAGAATGATCATGTAATTATTGTATGGCTCCACCCAATTTGTTTACTTTTTCTCCAATCGTGACCCATATCCCAACTTCTAAGTAAATAATTCCCAATTATGAATTTTGACCAATATTGACCAATATTAGTAGGATTACTATGGTCTTCCTATCTCATTTGACCAATTTCAAACCTATGTCACTAATGGTTAATAGTAATACTAGTATAAGTCGTGACGACATACTATTGTTATTCTAAATAAGGTGAAATTGGTAGCCATTAGCTACTGCTAATCCTATCTAATACAAATGTTCAAATCAAATAGAACGGACTTGAAAATCGGAGGTACTTATTGATTGGCCACTGCTAATCTCAACCAACCTCGTCCAAATTTTCACTTGAGTTTTCTTTTTAAGTTGGATGTTCTTTTGAGTTTTGAGTAGGATGGTTGCTCCGGACAAAATGTGGTGTCTACAGCTGGCACACAACATTAACTATCCTAAAAATGTCTCAATAACAATTAACTAAAACGACACAACTGCACAACATCTCTTTATTAAGCCGCCAACGGTCTTCATCTTCAAATTCAAACCTTCGCGCCACATCACCTTTTTCCTCAACAAACAAGCTTCCAAGATCCAAACCAGTCTTCAGTTCCATTTCTAACAAACTATACATGGTAACATATTTTTTTGTGAAATTTGCTAATAATTCATTGAAATTTTTTGGTAAATTAAAATGCACTAGTAGTAAAATATATAAAGAATATCATTCTCTATACAAAACAATTATTAATTATTTAGTTAGTTGTTTTGTTTTAAATATGTTCATTGTCAAGAACTGTTAGTATCAATAAGTCAAGTTAGTAGGCAGTTAAGCAGTTTAAGAGTAAGAAGGCAGTGGCTTTGGTTGGAAGGTTGGTATGGAATGTTGTTGTGTGTTTGGTATGGCGTGAAAGGTGTTTAAGGATGCATGGAGAGCAAGGCAAACCTAGTAGTGAGCTAGTTCGTTCGGTTAGAAGGCCGATTGAACTAGCCATAATTGGCAATGTGGTCTTCATTCTGATTGTAACAAGGTGTTTTTTGTATACAAAAGAGTAGTAGATGTCTAGATGAGTAGTAGATGTGTAGTGACAGGTATGAGATAGTGTTTAGTAGTTTCTGCAACTTGCAGTCCATTTAACGGTCAAGAATGCTTTTCCTCCAGTTTAAAAGGGGAATTGCATTGAGCTTTAATAATTAAAAAAATGATATTGCCCATAAAAAAAATATTGCCCAAATTGTTATGCAAATTCCAGTTTGAGGAAATAACGAGGGAGACAAGTTTATTTGGAAGTCCAATGATACAGGTTGCTACAACGTGAGGGATGTATATAAAATTTTGCTTGAATACTTTAAACATATCGATGAAATTGCTGCGAGGGGAAAACATGGATGTGGAGGGCCATTTGAACTTTTAACGTGTCACCTAAAATTTGCCATTTTATGTGGTGGTTTGCAAGAAACTCTCTTCCAACGGGAGTGAAGGTAAGTACTAAGAGTACTAAGTGGGGAGACACTTGCCCGTTCTGTAATAAAAAAGAACCACAAGTGCACCTCTTTGTTGAGTGCAGCTGGAGTTGTCGTATTTGGCGGGCATCTCCCTTTGTCGACTGCTTTGAGCTCCCAGAACAAGTGAGTGTGTCGATTGAGCGTTGAATGTTGTTGCCCAGGTGCTGAGAGATGTGATGGGAAGATGGTCCATGCTTCTTTGGTTCCTTTGGAAGGTGCAAAATGTCCACCCGTTTAATGGACGAAAGATGGTCGAGGAAGTTGAGATTGTCCCAAGAGCATGCTTCTTGCTGGAAGACTATAAACAACACGACACCACATTGATGGTAGTAGAGACAAGTCGATTAACGCACACCATCCATGGGTAGAATGAAAGTTAATACAAGTGCATGCATGATTCAGTGGGAGGGCATTGGTTTAGGAGGCAGAGGTCCAGTCGTCGAGTTTATTGCAGTGGCGACCAAAAATGTTTGTGGGACGTATGATGCGAAAATGACCTAAACTTTGGCGTTCGATTAGGGTGCCAACTCCAGGTTCCACAACTGATATTGGAGGTGGATTACTTGACGCTTGTTAACATGATAGCTTCTGCGAAGAGTACTCACCGGAGATAGGTACCGTCTGTGGGACTTTATGAGATATATGCTACAGGTCGGTTCGGGTGGAGCTGACATATGCCATGTGAAAAGAGATACTAATGTAGCGGCCCATATAATGGCGCACAGTAAGACGAGATGTGATAGTCGATAGATTTTGTTGAATAGACCATGAATGTTTTTGTATAATCAGTTGTGTCAGGACGATGTAAACTGTAATAACATCTTATTAGTAAAATCTTAAACATGTTTTGTTTAAAAAAAATAATTATATCGAATGCATAAATTATCTATACCAATAAATATTATCCGATAAAAGTTTCTAAAGATTAAAGATCACGTCAAATTGAAAAATAAAAAAATTACCTGCCTTCCCTCCAACCTAGTTCTATTTTTAATTGGTTCAATTGATGAGCTTCCGAAACGGACTGCGGATTTTTTCAACGAGAGAGAGAAAGGCGAAGAAAGCAAAAAAATGGCGAGGAGAGAAGGGGAAGGAGAATGAAGAGGCGATCCGTGTTATGGCAGCCGAATTCGGGGGACCTCTCTCTCCTCTCTCTCGTTTTCAATCACTGCTCCGCCCTCTTACTCCCCTGGCTACGTCCCCCCTCCTCTTCACCCACACACACATCTGGTGTCGTGGCTCCGAGTCAGGGCAGAGACCTCACTCGTAACGTAACTCACCGGTGGAGCTGCTGGTCGCCGCCGCCGCCGCCGTCCACCTTTCTGGCAGTAGTAATCTAAAATCTCTCCACCGGCGCACTTTTCTACCTCATATGTACTCCAGCTCTTCATTCTAAGTCAGACGCCCCCGACGTCCCTGTCTCTCTCTCGCGCCCGCCCGCCCGCCCGCTCTCTATTGGATCTCCTGCTCTGCGGTTCTGGGCAAAGCAAGCAGATTTTAAATCTTAATTGAGCTGATTGGCTGAGGAAAGGTTGGTGTTATTTTATTTCTAGTTCTGTGTACTACTCTGGTTTCAGTTTTCTAGTTTGTTAGAATTTGTGATCTTATCTTTTGGCTTGATTTAAGGAGCCATGGTTTGTGGAGTTCTCCTTGCATTTATTCTCTTTTTCGTTTCGTTTGGTTTCATTTTACGGGACTGTTTCGACGGGAACAAAAAGGGGACAGAGTTCAAAGCTTTCGATAACGAATATTCTAGGTCCTGGCATTTTCCCCATTCTATTTTTTCCGGGTGATGCCAGACTTCCAATGGAGTTTGTCCTGACCTGTTTACAAATCGTGCTTAACAATGTACTACTTCTCTCTCGAGTTCCTTATTTCCTCACTGCAGTTCCGGAAATAACTCTTCCAACTGATAACAGGAAACACCTTTCTTGTTTTAGGAGAAATCCAAATTGGTTGCTTTGAGATTTCCTTTCATTTCCTGAGGAGGGCTGATTCAGTTTTGGGTTTACCCAGTTTCATACATCTTGAACTAGGGTTGGGATTGTGCTTTGCTGATCTTCTCTCCGTGTCTGAAATGTGCAAGATAAAGATGCCATTCAAGAGCATTGTTCGTGAGCTGAAGGAGATTAAAGATGGGGTTGGGAGTAGGTCTGGTCGAGTGGTTGAAGGAAAGCGGTGGAGAGGCAGGGCAAGATCACACATAGCTCCTGATGAAACTTCAATGGTTAAATCAGAAGAATCCATTGAGCAAGGCCAGTGGGCCAACTTGCCCTCTGAATTGCTTTTGGATATCATCCAGAGGGTGGAAGAGACTGAGACTTCATGGCCTGCTCGTGCTGTGGTCGTTCATTGTGCTTCAGTTTGTAAGTCATGGAGAGAAGTTACAAGGGAAGTTGTGAAAACTCCTCAACAGTGCGGGAGACTTACATTCCCTATTTCATTGAAACAGGTGAATGCTCTAGCCTAATCCATTTTTATTCCTGGGTTTACTTTATTTCAGTCGAATTGTTTGATCTAATTGGTTTGATTATTGTTGGTTTTGGAACAGCCGGGTCCTCGTGAGTCTCCCATACAGTGCTACATCAGAAGGGATCCTATGACCTCCACGTTTCTGTTGTATTCAGGATTGATGCCTTGTAAGTTGTGTGGTTCTTTTGTTCTCTTATTTCACTAATTGATGGCAATTTAGGTTTGAGTGGTGTTCATATATCCATAGTGTTTCAACTGTTGTGCTCTGGTTCAAAGTTCTCTGCAATTTCAAAGTACTCTTCGGGATTCATTTAACAAGGAGGGGATGCATCGACAGGTGATACCTTGTTGACTGCAGTCCCATCTTTGTGAGAAGGATTCCAAGTAGAATACAAGTTCCCTTGAAATGTCATTAGGAGGCCCTAAACCTGAACAACGGTATTTCTTGGTTTGCAGCTGAGGGCCAGAAGGATAAATTGCTGTTAGCAGCAAAGAGAATCAGAAGGACAACTTGCACGGATTTCATTATATCTCTGGTTGCAAATGATTTTTCTCGCTCCAGCAACAACTACATTGGGAGACTCAGGCAAGTTGAATACTCTGGTTGTTTAGACTAGTTGGGACGATTGGGCTACTTGAGAAACTAGTAGAAGTGGATGTGTTTGGAAAAAAATGAAAATAAGTAAACGATCAAGAAATTGAATGGTTGAAATATATGAAGTTAGAAATGACAAATCATCCCAGAAGTCTTTTGAGTTTTATGGACAAGTAAGAGTAGTACTGGATAATATAGAAAATATGTATTTCTAAACTAGATTTTGAAAGTAAATTTTAAAAGTTGGAGGATGCATTCGATTAAGAAGTTGGTTAACTGATCAGCAAAGACTTCAATCAGTTGAATCAGTTATTATTGTGGCATGCCACTTATCTTGAATGAACTTATGCAGGTCAAACTTTTTGGGGACTAAGTTCACCATATCGGAAAGGCAATCTTCACACGAAGCTCCAACTCAATCCGTCAGGCGGACAAGCCGCAGCAGATTTCATTCCAGACAACCATCTACTCGAACACCCAGCTCTAGCTACAGAATAGGCACAGTAAACTATGAGCTGAACGTCCTCCGCACAAGAGGGCCGAGAAGAATGCACTGTGTCATGAACTCTATCCCTGTCTCTTCGATGGAGGAAGGTGGCAGTGCCCCAACAGCAGCATCACTGCCAGAGACAACAGCCGATGGACATCAGTTCTATCCTTCACCAGTCTTCAAAGGAAGGGGGGGAGGACCAGGTTCCGACGTCAGTTCCACCAACAGTCCATCAGAGTCTCCCTTGGTAATCCCTGGCTCAATAGGAGAGCCCTTGGTCCTAAAAAATAGGGCTCCCAGGTGGCACGAGCAGCTTCAGTGTTGGTGCTTGAACTTCAGGGGGCGAGTTACAGTTGCTTCCGTGAAGAATTTCCAACTCGTTGCTGCTTTTGAGCCCCACCACCAGAATGTGTCAGCTGAAGAACACGATCGGGTCCTTTTACAATTCGGGAAGATTGGAAAAGACATATTCACCATGGACTATAGCTACCCGCTCTCTGCTTTTCAAGCCTTCACACTCTGCCTCAGCAGCTTTGACACCAAACCAGCCTGTGAATGAACGAATGACAGCACAGTCTGAGAAATCGTTTGGCAATACAGTTACTATATATCCTGTGGTATGTGCGCGATCACTGTTTTCTAATGCTGGCCTTTGTATCCTTTCTATTATGGAAGTTCTACTGAAGTTAAAAGAAGAAGGTTGTTTTGCTGTAGTGTATAGCTGTGCAGTATTGCCAATTGGTTAATCATACCTGGAGTGTGAATTATTATGATTCATTATTGATCGTCAAGAGACACTGATTTGTTTTCAGAGCGGTAGTTATGTTTCCAAGCGAGGTTTAGTTGGAAGCTTGGCTATGTTCCTTTAAAGGGTTGCAGCCATTTTTTTGGTCTTAGGTGGTTTACTTTATAGGGTTCTGCAATGTCCATTTGCTCTTCTTATCATCTCTGCCAAACGGAGGGGGGATTAAACTACTACTTTGACTAGTTACATCAAACCTGTAGCCTCTGGTTATCATTGTATTCATGAGATTGATCTGTAATAATCAAAAGTCACTGTTATGTTCCTTGGTTCCATTGCTTACTGTTATGTTCCTTGGTTCCATTGGTTATTCTCCTTTGTTTGGTTAATCAGCCATGCCACTGACTGATGTAAGCAAGGATACCGAACCACAAAAATAGAAAAGATTTCGCCAAACCACATCGATGAATATGCTTCTATAATATCAAAGCCACAGTGAAGTGTGAAAATGGAGGTATTTCATTTTGAAGCAATTAACCAAATGGAAAATACAAAAGAAGGAAGAAGCTTCTCTTGTGTCTTCACTTCAGACCCTTTGATCCTCAAGCTACGCAACAGGGGGCTTCAAACACTAATCCATCTCCAAAGCAAGTTACAAAACCTTAGTATTTATCATCTAACAGAAGAGTAAGTGATGAACTCTGTTGAAGTGAACTGAAATGGTTGGTGCGGTATAGGGTTCCTGCAAGAAAATTACGAGTAGAGAATGAGCGGAAAACAACTTCTGCAGAAGAGAGTGAGGTGGGGAGGAAGAAGACAGACAAGACACTCACGGGCGGGGGCCGTAAACTTTGATCTGGCGGACATGAGTATCTCTTCCATTAAGGTGATTCGAGATCACAGCAATTTGTAGCATAAACGTATTCACAAAAGTCTCCCTGGCAGCACGGATTGCACACAGCAAAAGACTTATTAGCTCAGCACACCATCTTGATTTTTGACAGCATAACAGAGTAATCTCTTATCATTATGTTGACATAGAGGAAGGAGAATGGTGGGTTAGACCTTAACCTTGGATCATTTCCTGATAGTGATATGTAAACCCAACCAGTAGGTTTGACGAGTTCCACAGTTTTGATGTCCTGAAAAGGCACAAGAGCAGAGTGGAAACAACAATCTCTCTCCCTCTTTCGAATAGCTTTGATATGCAAGAAACAAGAGCCCATGAAGAAAATGTCATGAACTACCTTGAGGTTATGGAAGCCATCACCAGCACGAATGAGGATCTTGCTGGGGGTATAGCTCTCGTCAAGCTTGAAATCCACATAAACTACTACCAACTTGTCAACACATAAACAAAACCCAAATTCAGAAAAGTAAGACGAAGAAGCCTAATTAAGTCGGGAAATCGAACAAAAGAACACTTCTTTTACTTACTTGCAGCTTCACTTTCTTCTGGAACTGAATGTTCACCAAATGCGGCTGAGCACCGTCCGATCTGCCGGTTGGGGGAAAAAAAGGGAAACAGAAACCCTTAAAGTTGGGAGCTTTAATCAGAAAAAGGGATTTGGGAGCGGCACTTACTGCCAGTAGGTATCGAGATTGTCGTCGCGGAGGGAAGCTACGCAGTTTCCGGTTTTGCAAGAGCTGACGCTCCAAGCAGCCTTCTTACCCAGCTCTCTCAGGTCGTCCTCCACAACCAGGTGCTGGCTTCCTCCAGTAATTTTCCCTTCGTCTTCCCCCTCCGACGACTCCGTTGCCATTGGATCCAGGAAATCGGCGACGATTAGGGGAACAGAAACCCTAAATACGGCGAATTTGGAATCGGAGGGCAAGAGAGAGATCGCCGATCGGATTCGGAATCGGAGGGCAACTTTGGAGCGGAGTGGGAAGTTTTTTGAATTCCTCGAGAGGTAGTGGTGGAGTGAGTGAAGAAGTCGGGAGGTTTGATATACATTTGGTCGGACCTTAAAGGCCCATGTACTGAGGCCCAACTGGGTCCATTCGAGATGGGCTTTGTGCGAATTTTTTAAACATTTTTTTGTTGGTGGAATGGACAGGGAATAATTATTCAGAGGTGGGCCTTGTAGTTGTAGGGTAGATGAGCCATCAGTATTTGGGATGGAGGACCATTCGTTCAGCAGTCAGCACCAATCCATAATTGGCATTGCCAGTCGGTTCACTAGACAAGAGATCCAACATAGGATATTTTGCGGCTTTCCATTTTTTCTTTTGTGTAAAAATTGCCCAATTTTCAGATATAAAAAAGGTCAAGGTGTGGTCCTTTTAAGCAAATGGATAAACCAATTGGTATGATATCATTCATATCCTGAGTTCATAACATATCAACAGTAGAGATTGACATTTGTAGGGTAGAAAATCGATTTATGTATGAAATCAATATATATTGATTTTCTAATTCGATTGAAAGTGATGTACAATTGGTCTATTTTTGGTATTATATCCATAATTAGCGCATTCATCCTAGATGGAAGCTCTATCTTTCGTAAGACTAAAGAATGGGGCGGAAAAAGGGTAGGAGGAAGTCCATTCCTGGTTCTCTTGTAATTGGATTCTCCGGAATCACAAGAATTCTTAATTAGAATGGGGATTCCACCCACATTGTTCTAGTTTGGATTGATGTGGTTCTACAACTAGGTCTCTTGTTGCTTGGAAAATGTTGCTCAACCCAGGAGGAGTGAAGGTGTTTCGATATAAGAGATTTCAAGTTTGGAACACAACATATGTATATTTGACACTGTCTTAACAGAAAGTGGACAAGTGGTTTTCATGAGTAGGGGTGGTAAACGGTTAGTTGGTTATCGATTTTGATCGATAACAATGATTAGTGGTTAATCGATAACCCATAATTTCTTAGTGGTTTGGTTTCGATTAGCTTTATTTTACTTAGTGGTTAACCTTAACCAACCAACTAGTCGGTTAATGGTTAATCGATAAGAAAACTAATAATCGCTTGCTAGTATTACCACATAGCTTTGGGTTTGGCAAAGGGAAAAAGTTCCAATATTCATAATCATCGAAAGTTGCTATTTATAAACATTCAAATTCACTCCTATGGGAAACAACTCTCCACCAAATTCTCAAATAAGTTTAAGATTCAGAATCCGAAAGTCACTCCTCTCCGAATTTCCTTTGCAATCAACAAAGCAAACCTCGCACTCTAGTAGTCATTGTTCCTTTGATGTTTGTGAATGTTGATGATCTTGTGGTGCTTGTATTTGATGTCTTGCTAGTTTGTACTCCCTAATCGGATGAAAATGTTCTATCATTTGTAATTTTATGCGTTGGGATTCTAATTGAGATTATGAACTTATGATAGATGTTGTATTGCATTGATATTATTTCTTATAATTTATTATTTTATGTTAATAACGCGTACAAGTATAGTTAAAGTATTTTGAATTAATTGTATGATTATATTTTCAAAAGAATAAAAGAAAAATATTACATGTTAAGGTTGTTATTGGTCAGTGATTAACCGTAAAACTAACCGCTAACTGAACCGATAACATGCGGTTCGATAAGCCTTATCGGTATGCATTTTTTTGCTTAGTGATTAACCATTTTTTTGGTGATCTAGAAGCGTAAATCATTAGTTTTTAAGTTTTCAAGTGGAGTTTTAACTATATAAGTTGTAAAAACTAAGATTTTGTGTAGAAGCGTTTTAGTGACCTAGGAATGTAAAATCGTAAGTTTTTAAGTTTTGAAACGCGATTTTGACTACATTGGTTGCGAGGACTATTCGATGGGATGGATGTGTGTTGTAGGGGTGGGCATCGGTACGGTTCGGACCGGACCGCACCGCATTTTTATAAACCGCACCGAACCGCATTTATGTAAACCACACCGCATCTTTGACCGTGAAGTTATCGGTGCGGTCAAACCAAATGGCATGAATTAACAGTTTGGTATGGTTTAGACCGCACCGCATTTTGACCGCAAATGACAAGAAAAGAAGGAAGCTTGGAAATAAAAAAAAAATGGCAAGGATTCCCGCTCCGTTTCTGTGTACTGATGCCACCAAAAGTCCAAAATAGAGATGTGAAGGCAAGACTCTTGTATGCATGAAAACAGAGCATATGCTCTGATTTAAGGGCCTTAACTAACTTAATCCAAATATGCAAACAAAAAAAAAAATCCAATATCATCACACTCAGCCTAAAACAGCAACAGAGCAAAAGTCCAATATAAAAAACCTTGCCATCTTCCTGTTCTCATTTGTTTTAAGGGTTCCTCTGTTTCCGGCCATCAAAACAGAGCATATGCTCTGATTTCCCCATGCCTTGCATCTGCTGCTTTCTTCTTGCGGAACTCTGTTTCTTGGCTAGATCCCCTACACATGAACCCATTGAAAAACATTAAACCATAATGCTCACCTAAACTACACAATAGACAGTAAAGGATTCTAATTTCACTACTACATTCTACATCAGAGGAATCCTCACATTCAAAGACTTAATGGTATTACCCAGCACCTAAAATTGCCCAATCTTAAATCACAGGTCAGCAAAAACATGGTAAGTTTTGGAATCTACAGCTATAAGCCTTAGGCAGTTCCCATAAGATATAACAGTTTTCTTGGAGTGGAGACACTTAGGTAGATGTCCAGTTAGAAGGTTGAATGACAAGTCAACGAACTTCAGTTATTGTTGGAGAGATCAAGCCGTTCCAACTGATAGTAAGAGCTTATTTCAGTAGGCCCAAAGTCAAAGTGACCAAAGTGACCAAAGTGACCAACTTGTTCTTGCTCAAAACCAAAGTGACCAACTTGTTCCCGAGCTGAGGAAACTCGGTCCCAAAGTCATTATCTTCTAAATCAAGCACCTGAAGGTTGGTCAACCGGCTAAAGTCCGGTACTTCACCACAGAAGTAGTTGTGTGAAAGTGAAAGAACTCTGAGATTCTCCAAATTGCTTAATGAATCAGGTAATGTCCCATTGAACATGTTCTTCCTCAAACTAAGAGCAGATAATACTGGGAGCGACCCAAGCCAATGTGGCAGCTCCCCAGCAAACATGTTATCATCGAGTGCCAGTGATTGGAGGGTAGACAGTGATGAGAGCTAGCTGGCTAGTTATCAAATGTTAACAGCAATTTTTGCTGAAACCCCACAGAAACACACACCCAAATGCAGAAATCAACTCTGAAACCCCAATACAGAAACACACACCCAAATAAATTGACGAGTACACTAAGAAGTCAATAGTCCTACCACGATCTTAGAAACATGCCTTCATTTTTGGTAAAGGAAACTGCTCATTTCTACTCGTCAGCCTTACAAAAGATCAAAGCATTTGTGCCAATGACGGGCATTCCAGAAATCCAATGACCTACACATTCTAAGAATCCAACCCACTGCTAATATGCTTTAATCAGTCTATCATTATATCATAGTTGACAACGAAAAGTGGGTGCTTGCTACCAAAGAGTATAGAATCCATGATCAACATATCGAAACAACTGCAAAAGAGACCGTCAGGTCTCCGCAACAAGTAAAAGCTATTAACTAGGCCACAAGACCACAGAACTTTATCTAAACTTAATCCAACTAAACAGAGACGACACCCTTCACATTAGGACTTCCCTTAATGAGAATGACCAGCAAATTCTACTGTCAATTTCCAGCAGAAAGCGGTGAACACACAGCCAATGCATCTCCATGGTAGCACTTCGAATTCCATTCTCAGTACAGGTAATTCTTAATTGGAACCAGTACAAGCCAGCAACCATCTATCCGGGGGAAACCGAATAACAACTTGCGCCCGAACTCCTAAACTAGAAAGCACACATCGGAGGCGATTAGGCACTGTTCAACTCGAGTGAGGACTCCTACTACCAAGGCAATCAATGGCTAGAACTCAGAAAACCCTCGCCCACCGACACTTGCAATTTTCAAATGACGAACAACAACAGGACTATTGAATTTTCAAATGACGAACAACTATCTCCCCCACTCTCGTCATTTTCCCCTCCACAAACAAAATGAAATGAAAAACCCACATATCCCCTGTTCATATAATTGCACAAATCAAGCAGGACAGGAAAGCAAGCATCCAAAACAGAGCAGTACTGTAACTTTTTTTCTCTTCTCGCACCCGATGGCAGCCTCCATCATTGTGGGTTTCGCCGGATCGAGAGAGAGGCGATACATGGGAGACCAAAGCAAATACAACACAACAACCCAATATGTAACTCTATTCCTACTTGAAAACCCACGGAGGGCAAAGGGATCAGTGGGTCGGTCGCCGCCTTGGTGGAGGTCCGACGGGATTAGTGATTCGAGATTGAATCCAAAAGAGACCGACCAAGATTCAAGGATATGAAGAGGGAGGGAGAGAGTACCAGAACGGCGGTGTGACCCGGGATGCGGAGGCCGGCGGAGGTGCGAATCTGGATGTTAGGTCAGGGAAAGAGACTGGGGATGGCGGTGGAAGAACAGAGTAAAGAGTTGGGTGATTGCAAATCTAGGTTGAAGGAGAAGGAGGAGATTCTGGAACACTACAAGAGGCTTTTGGAGGAGAGCAAAGATGCGATGAAGGAGAAGGAGTCGGCGATGAATCGATTGAAGGAGGTGATCGAGGACAGGGATGGAGATATTCGGCGATTGAAGGTGGTAGTGGCGGCAATGGAATTGGGACAACCGGAGGTGACGAAGAATTGAAAGCGATTAGGGGATGGAGAGATTCGACGCCTTCCCTGTTCAGTAAGAATTACCGGTTTGCGGTTTTGAACCGTAACCGTGTGGTTTCGGTCAAACCAAACCGCGAACCACGAACAACTAAATGGTTAGTCCGCAAATGAAACAGATAGTTAACGGTGCGGTTTGGATTGACCGTTGGAGCGGTTTGGTGTGGTTTGGTCAAACCAATGCCCACCCCTAGTGTGTTGTAGGTAAAACCCTGCTGAGTGGTTGGCTCTTCCGATGAATAACAGATCGATCAATATGTAGTTCATTACAACTTACTGTATGCTGCTTTCGTGCGAAAGCAGCAGAGCTACTATACAAGGCAAGAAACTAGAAAAATATGAACAGAAAAAAGATAGGAGACAGCAAACCCACTAGTTTTACACTTGAGAATAATAAATCATCAGAGAAGCAATACGAAACTGTCGCATCTTGAGTCCACAAATTGTTTTTTCCTCTCCTCCTGAAATAGCTTCTTCTGTTGATTCTCTCTGCGATACCCACGAGCTCAGTTCAGTCACACCCACTTGTCTAATGGTGGCAGTTGGCACATAATAAAGTGAAAGAAGGCGTTGATGTTGGTTCAGCCTTGATAACGATGGAAACCCATGTCCTGGAAGCTCTGCGAATCCGCTTCCCAGAAAGGTTGGTGGACTTGGACTTGCTGCAAAATTTGGAAAGTTGAAGTAATTGTCAGGCAAAACAGAGGGAGGAAAAAGCTGGAAAATTTTAAGTTCAGAGCCAAAGAGATGATTACAGGGAAACTGGAGGAATCGAGGCAGAGTTCAGGACTGAAAGCCGAGGAGGTCTGGGTTTTCTCAGAGGAAATCTGGCTGTGATTCGTCGTCAGGTTTTCCATTTCTCTGCTCGCTGCAAGCTGCTGAAGCTGCGCCAAACTTGCTGCTCCTGGAAACATGCTGTTCATGGCTGTTGGAAAACTCGGGTAACCAGGAAACTGTTGCCATGGTTGTTTCGTTGCATCAGAAGACAATAACAAGTCAGTTCTGAAAGAAATTTGTCATGCTGCAAGAACTTCAACTCCAGGACGCTCTTATCTTAAGCTAATACCTCTTTGCCAGAGAGCTTATCGGAGTTGAATTCCATTCTTGGGTTGACCGCAGCAAGTTTCATTGACAAGAACTACAAGAAAGAACAAAAGTAAAGTTCTTTTGTTTCAGAACTAATTGAAGAGACAGAAAATGCTCTGTTTCTTAGAGTTAGCTAGGGCTTTTGCAGGAGATTTCAAGCAATTACCTCAACCTGGCGCTGGAGGGACTGAACATAATTGATGATCTCATCCAACATCCCTGCCCTTCCAGTGATTTTGTTGCAGCCAGGGACTAAATCCTGCAGGCACTTCATTTTCCTGCTTATTTTTTCCCTCCTTGCCTGAAACAGAGTCAGCAAAACAGAGTAGCTTTCAGGAAATGAGGATTTCGGCAAATCCGAACACACTCCAACAAAGAGTTCAATTTCCACTTACCCTTTCTGCCAAGCTGTGACTGTCAGTAGCCTGGCCGCGGCGTGCCCTGACGTGAATATAATCTTGTTTCTCATCTCCTGATGAAGAACCCTTCTTCTTCTTCTTCTGGGTTTCCTCCTGTGTTGAATCTCCTCTGCAATTAGTCTCTTCACTTCTGCTTCTGCTAGACTCCACCTCCATTTCTCCTTTCACTCTCTTCTTCCCTCTAATTTCTTCGTTCTGAGAAACGCAGAACAAGAGAAAGGCCAAAACTTTCACTATCCCGTTGGTAGAAATTCAGTAAAAGAAGCAAAAAGGGGAACAGAAAAAAGAAAAGAAAAGAACCAGACCTCTGTTTTCCTCTTGTTTGAACCATCCGCCAAGCTTCTTCCTCCATTTTCCTCTGCCATCATAACCACCACAGCATCCTCTTCCCCCTCCTCGGGCGCCGCCCGAGCCGAAGCCGCCGCCGCCATGTGGCAGCTAGAAGTCCTCGAGAGACAATGGTCAATTCCAAGAGAAGGATGATGGCTGACAACTTGGTCGGGAGGAGCAAGAAACTCGAATCCTGAAGGGAGCAGGAGATGATGGTTCCCCCCGTGCTGCGGCAGAGTCGTCGTCGACCCAGTCTCCACCTGACTGAAGATTCCCTGGAAGTGAGGCATTATTGGCAAGTGGGTGGCGTCTTTAAGTTGTAGTTGCTGTTGCTGTTGTTGCAGCCATTTGAACCTTGCAGCCTGTCTCTCTAACACACTCATCATGTCCATGCAAGTTGTGTGTTCCCGAGAAAGCATTTAGGTGATGAGATAGATAGATATATAGTGACGTTTTCCCCTTTTTCTTCTCCCCTGCTTTTTTTTAAATCTCTGTTACAGGGGAGGAACTGAAATGGTCCTGGAAAGATGAGGTGGAGAAAGAAGAAGAAGAAGAGGTCTTTATCGATGCTGTTTCCTTTAGGAAAAAATCCCAAGTTACACATGTTTTTAAAAAAAATTCTCAAAATACACACGTTATGAAAATAATTCCCAATCTACGTTAGTTTGAGCCATCACCGCTGTCGACGAAGACAGTGATTGCATCACTGTTGTCGACGAAGACAGTGATTGCATCACTGTTGTCGACGAAGACAGTGATTGCATCACCGCTGTCGACGAAGACAGTGATTGCATCACTGCAGTACACGGCCGCGGTGAAGGCCTGACCTGCATCGAAACTTTAAACAAACGTAACTTTGTGCTCGGTTATCCGATCGTAGCAATTTTTTTTTATTCCGCATAATTTTTCGAGATCTTGCAAGCCACAAATGGCCATAGGCGGTTTGGTCCCGCCTTCGTCTCGAAAATATGTCGTTTGCTACCCCGAACGAGCCTTTTTTCGATTTCGTCAAACTTTGAATGACCATAACTTTGTGCTCCACAATCCGAAAATCATGATTTTTTTTTATTTCGCATAACATTTTAAGGACTACAATTTTTATCATAGACATATTTTCGGAATGTACTTGGATTCCTGAAAAGGAAGGTAAAGTTATTCCCAAAACCCCTTATATCCATAAATAATTCATTTTTTGAAAATTCTCTCCTACTAAATATTTTAGTCCTTAAAAATTTATGCGAAATCAAAAAAAAATTCATGATTTTCGGATTGTGGAGCACAAAGTTATGGTCATTCAAAGTTTGACGAAATCGAAAAAAGGCTCGTTCGGGGTAGCAAACGACATATTTTCGAGACGAAGGCGGGACCAAACCTCCTATGGCCATTTGCGACTTGCAAGATCTCGAAAAATTATGCGGAATCAAAAAAAATTTTGCTACGATCGGATAACCGAGCACAAAGTTACGTTTGTTTCAAGTTTCGACGCAGGTCAGGCCTTCACCGCGGCCGTGTACTGCAGTGATGCAATCACTGTCTTCGTCGACAGCGGTGATGCAATCACTGTCTTCGTCGAAAGCGGTGATGCAATCACTGTCTTCGTCGACAACAGTGATGCAATCACTGTCTTCGTCGACAGCGGTGATGGCCCAAACTAACGTAGATTGGGAATTATTTTCATAACGTGTGTATTTTGAGATTTTTTTTTAAAAAGATGTGTAACTTGGGATTTTTTCCTTTCCTTTACTTTCTTGCAGCAGCAGCAGCAGCATAAAAATCTCAACCACTCTCAAAATCGGTGGCTTCAAATTGAGCTGTGGTGGGAAAAGAAAGGAAGAGGAGGAGAAGAAGAAGGAAATATTTGGTGGGAGTCTCAATCTGAGAGCGTAAATGAGAAGACAGAAAGAAGCAAAGACATAAATACAGTCGCAGGCAGAGAAAGGTGGGGGAGTGGGGAGGAAGAGAAACTTAATGATATTATGGTTTAATGGATTAGATAAGGGGAGTGGAAAGAGAAAGAAGGAGGAAGAAGAAGAAGAAAGGAATGTAGACCATTTGCTAGAGAAATGGGCAATGGTCCCCATATTTGGAAACTCCCATGTGGGGTTGTCCATTCAGTAAGCCATGAAAACGGGGAGGGAGAGAGATCTTCTCGACGGGATTCTTGTTCTTTCAGATTGCCGTTCTGTTGCTGATGATGCTCTTTGCTTTCGCTAGTTTGCAGATGTACATCTGGATCTGGAGGAACCCACCTCAATTTTGAAATACGTATAGGTTTAGGAGGAGAAGTGCATTAAACATGCGGGTATTAAACTATTAATCCTTGTAGTATGATAAATGCACTACTGGGATTATCAATAACTTGAACTTCCAAGTATGGAATTGGCTTTGGTTTGGTATGAACAATAAGCCAGAAAGCAGCTTTCGTGGCCCACAAGTTAAAGGAGTTAACCCTCTCTCAATTGTGTGTTTACTGATTAGGAGCCCTATGGATGAGCTCTACCAGAGCAGAGCTCGTATGAAAATGGTTTGTTGTACTGAGTTAGAAGAGCGTGAGCAAGAAATTTCGTAACTAAAACAACTTTTCTGAACTCAGTTCTTAGTTAGAATCAAAGAGACTAAGATCATATAAAATTTTCGTAAACACAGCTCAGATAATCACATGCCGCACCATGTTTTCACTGCTCTCCCTCTTCCCTAATCCCTACTATCCAACTTAGATGCAACGAGCACTAACGAGAAAATGAGCCGACTTCAAAGCACATTTGAGCAATGATCTCAAATTTTCTTCGAAAACGTGTTCATGGGATTATTTCATTAGTGATACTAAAAGCACATAATTGATAGGCCTAGTAGAGTACCAATAGATAAGAACTATTCTTGAAAGAAACCATAATTTAGTGCATCATAGAGTTCTCGACGAAATATTTTGTACAAAAAAAGCAAGTGCGAATAGCACGAATACTATCATACTCATTTGAAAACTACTCGAATAGCCATATGTTTTAGAGCGCAGGAACAGAGAGAGTAGGTTAGGTTTGTTATTTGAGGCAATTTGCAAGTGCACCTGCCACCTTACTGGGACAATGAATTCGTCCTACATTTCTTGAATGAGTTGCATCAATAATGGCTCACCTTGACCCAAGCAGATTTGGGCTCTTCTCATTATTATAGACAAGAATAAAGAATGACAGGCAGAAACTACTACTAATCTGTCTGCATACACATATATGATGCATATATAATTCTTAATTGTTTGCATGGGAAAATTTGATTAAATAATCCTGCAGGATTCATCCATGGATAAGGCCGTGTATAATATAAAGTCTACAGGGTGACCCACCGACAACATGTGCCAAACTAGGCCAGCAGAAAGACAGTCACTTTCAAGATAAACAGCCACCCTGTGGCTGAATGTTGATCTCCATCAGATCTCCTACAGAGCAAAAAATCTCCACAGGTTCTATAACCATGACCATTGTATGGAGTACTGTACTATGTTTTGTTCATACAAGGCAGTAGCAGCAAGTGACTGCAGTTTTCTTGACCCTTTTGAGGCTGAGAAAGGTTTGAGTACAGTAGAGTAGAGAACAAGGTGTCCTTTGGGCAAATAGATGGGTTGCTAAGAGGGACAGGATCACATTACCATAGATGGAAGAAAGATTTAGGGTTTGTTTGATTAAAAGGCCCACCCTACCAAATCTTGCCTGAACAGATTTGAGTTGGAGCCCTAGACATGTATTATTGAGTTGATGTAAACTAAGGACAGATCTTTTTTATTATGGGTACTGGGGATAAGTGATGGGAAGGTAGGAGACCAATAGTTGGAGGGTATGTTGGGGGGTGGCTTTGGAACTATACTATAAACCCACCACCCATCCCTCCCCTAACTTCATATGCTTCTGTCTTTGGAAAAAAGAAAAGAAGAAGCAAAGGGCTAATCCCTTCTCCTCCACTCAAAAATGTTCAAAGGTAGGCATATCTGGAAGGGAAACTGATCATCTCACTCATCAATGGCTGACACTTGCCAAATCTACATTCACATGCAAAAAATGGACATATTATGATATTGGGGGGAACAAACAACAAATGCATATCAGAATATCAGTACGTTTCTTCTGCAAGTACATCTGCTTTCCAGGTTGAACACTATCAGCAGCATAAACACTCAAATCAAAGGGCCAAAATCAGCCATGGTGTTTTCTTCCATTAGTCTCTTTATTGGGGAGTAAATGTAAGTGGAGCTAAAGCCTCTGATTATTAACAAGGAGTCCAATTCACATTGGGATTGAGTGGCAAGCAAAGCCACATCTGTGTACATATACATTCTACCAAAAAATATACAGCTGCATTAGGCATCAGAGTGAAAGGAAAATGGAAAACAAAACCAACTTATGCTACAAACAAAAACAAAGCCACTGACTAACAAAGGCATGTGATTATATCTAACTATAGATTCAACCAGGTAAACCCTTGGCTCTTCCCAAGGATAAAAAAATAAAATTAAATAAAATAACGAGAATACCTAAACCGGGTAAGAGCAAACCATTTATCTATCCCTTCTTCTTGGATGTAAGAGACCCAGCTAGGCTCCTAAAAAATCCTTGCTTTCTTCCTGTACCACGAGGAGAAACAACCTCTACATGAGCAGCTGCATCATCAAGGCAATGAGGAGGAAGAGAGCTGCTTTCTAGCTCAGTTCTTTCAGAAGGCTTCACATCTCTGAATTGCCGAAGCAATTCCAATGCACTCACTTTAGCCTTGTCGTTCCCATTCAACGAGATGCTAAAAAGGTTAGAAATCACGCTTTCTTCCATCAGCAAATGGCAGTACTGAACTCTCTGAGAGCATAGAGAGAGAAGGACAGTCACTGCATGCTCTTGCTCCTCACCGCTCTCACTCTCCAGCAGTTCAGCGATGGAAGAGATGCAGCCATTGGTCTCGGCAACAGTAACCCGAGCCTCCTCCGTGTCACACAAGTTTTTGAGCAGAAGGATGCAGTGTCTTGCGACACTGCTCTCCTTGATGAAAGGAACCAGCTTCGGAATAATACAACATTCCAAAGAAGCTAACTTGGAACAGACGTCACTGCTTGATGAGGACAAGTTGCATAAGATTCTGATCACCTGTTCCTGTAGTTCCTTCCTCTCACAGTCGAATATCTTCAGGAGAAAATCAATGCCACCAGATGCTTCGATTTTGGACCTGCAGTTTTGGTGGGCAGAGAGCCTGTCTAATATTGCAACAGTTTCATCAATTACTTCAGAGTCAAGGAAAGATGCCAACAAACTGTATGCATCTTCCTGCAAGTGTGATGCTCCGCTTCTGCATGGAACCAAGACAATATGCTAAGTAGCCAACCATGAAAGTATAAAAGCATTATCTCAATTGCATGCTATTCTTCGAGGTGTATTTCCAAAAGTAAAATTGTATTGTTCAGTGCATTTGTGCAGGACATTTTGACAGAAACTAGAGAAGTAAACACGTGAGACTCACTTTTGTAGAGTCCAGTTTCAAATACTTCCTAACCTCCAAAACGAGAAATTGGATGTGCAATTTCAAATGCATTCAGCATCAATGAAAATCAATCATATTTGTTTAATAGCATGCTTTCTGAAAATATTAATATCCCAAACAACCTGAAAGATAAATTTACTATCTACTGAGAGTCATTCTACCACTCATCCAAAATGCAGCAAGAAACAAATTTACATAGTACACAAGAGGAAGCATGTTATCCACTTAAAGGTCAGTAGAATATTTGCAGACAGTTAAAAGAAACATATCCTTACCCAGATTTGTCCACAAGTGCAAGGAACAATTTGGATCCATTCTTCTGGGCTGGTATATCACACCGCTCAAGAGCATCTCTCAAATGTATAAGCAGCGGTTCAATAAACAATCTAGATGACTCAGAATCCCAAACTTGACACACACAATTTTTCAGGCGACTATTTATATCCTGAATAATCTTGCACTGAGAATCCCAAGGAAGCTCTGACAGCTGAGATAATACCTCCACTTCCTTGTCACACATTTTTGCATGATACTCACACTTACTAAGACTGTCATGTTCAGGCATTAGCTTCGATCTTGAATGTTCTACAACATCATAGCTGTAACTAGCTTCCAAAGAACCGAGTGATAGACTGCTGATATCGAGTTGAACAATATCATTCATAGAACTGCTTAAGCTAGTGATGGAGTCGGAAGAAAGATCCAAAGACTGCAATGGTTGTGTAGTTGGATCAGTAATGGTGATTCCATAGTTTATACACCACTTTGATATGAGGGCCTTCATACCGGTGTTTGGGGTCATGAAACAGTTCTCCAACTTCGATTTTGTCTTGGGACATGTGTTATTGCCTTCATCAAACCACTTTTGTATCCACATCCTTTCATACGTTTGTCCAGAAGCAATGATGACAGGATCATACATCACTCTCCTTGATATAGGGCACCTAAACTCTTCAGGTGGTCCAGCAGCATCAGTTGACAATATTTCAGGCTGTCGGGCATCATCACCGAGGTTCCCTACTCCTGGATTTCCCTGCCCATCGTTGATATTATCAGTAATGGGAGTTGTTCCTTCATGGTAACCCTTTCGGTGTTTCATTGAAACTAAGTTTTTGTACTTCTTTAAGAGATAGAAAAGGGTCCTCAAGATCTCTGTTTTGTTGGGGCTGCTGTCACCAACTGTGTCGAGAAGCTTCTTGATAGATCTCATCTCTATTACTATGTCCCTTTGGGAGGTGATTCGAAGCTTAGAGAGTGCAACTCGAAAAACTATAATTTGAGATTCTGCTGAATCTGTTCCATGGTGAAGCAACTTGAGCATTACCTTCCCCGCCTCCTCCTCAGAGGGATCCATCACAAAGTTTGCTGCTTCAAGGTCATCGAGAATTGGAGAGAGCTTCAAAAAAAAAAAACCCCACATCAGTTCCACCAAATTGTGAAGAAAACAAAGCTCCATATGCACAGCCAAAGAAGACAAAATAACAAACCTCAGTAGCCAAGGTCACTGGGACCATCGTCTGAATCTGACCCAAACTTTGTTCTAATTGCTTTCTTGATCTCAGAAATCTAGCAACTATTGCCTCTCCAGTCATTGCCTGAAGTTAATCAATCCCAAATGTACAATAAGTTAATGCCAAATAGCTACATACATCATGTACTGTATGCTAAAATGATGTTCTGTCTCCTTGACCCCTGAATAGTTATGCGTCTTCAGTCAGCAATAGATGTATTGAGGGCAACTGACCACATTACAGGAAAACAAGGAGAAATTAAATGATTTCCTACCAAGTATAGTTTGCTTGACTCGGAGCAATACTGAAGAAGTTGATTAGCCCGTTCAAGGGCACAGCCCAATGAGACCAGCGCTCGTATCCCAGATGAGCATCGAGGTCGCGAGGCTTCTATTTGTGGAAATATTCCTCTAATTCTTTCTACCAACTTCATCAACTGAGCACACATCAAATGATGAACCTGTAACTCAACAAGAAGTGGACTATGTTACTACATCCACAATTCCTCAAAAAGACTAGCAGTATTAGTGTCTAGAACCACAACTCATGCTGCAGAATATCCTTTTGTTGCAAGAAAAGCCCTTAAAGTACATAGAAGTAACTAACTCATGGTCTAACTCTAACCTAATGCCACCACTATGACAAAAATCCAGAAAGTTCACGATTTTCGAGTTCCAGATTAACCAGTGAGTCGAAAAAGAAGATTAGTTAGTACCTTAAATGAATGAAATTGAAGAGAAACCTCTTCTTGCTCCGTGGCATCAGATCCCATTGAAACCAGGCGTGACAAATGAATCTGTGAGTCAGTCAAACAAGCAACCAGTCAGTTCAATTCCGTGTTTAGGCTAAATTGTATTCGATCTTTATGATCAGACCGAGCCAAAACATATATTATCATGAAGAAACAACAAAGGCTTGCCTTGTGATATGGAACCAAACGCTTAGGGCAACAGATCGGTGAAAGATTGAAGACTAGTTATCACTTTGCTTCCCCAAACCAACCAACGAAATTATTCTCAACTAACAACACCAATTGGCTTTAACCCAAATCCCCAATCAACGAAAACTTAATCAAACTTCCTTAGCAGCCCCCAATCACAACGGAAACCTAGCAGGAAACTGCAGTCCTCCCAAACCAAAGAGACTCAAAAGTTGGTTAACCTTAAAACTGCAGTTTCCTGACATCCCATACCGTACAAAAGCAGAGCAAAGAGGGAAAAGACGGAAACTTTATCGGCGAGGTACATAGTTAGCACACAATTCGGCCTTTACAGAGCCAAACCCAAGACTAGTAAACAAAGACCCAGACTCCCGGCTCAACCCCGCGGACTTTCTAACTACCAAAACGAACTTGCGAGGCAAAGAAGGGTAAGAAGAAGCTTTCTTTATTCAGTGTGTGTGAAAGGAATCAGAGATGGAAGGAAAACAGAAATTGAAGCGTATAACAGACAGGGACGGATGTGTGTTGCATGCAGCTGAAGAACAATTTGGGGGAAGTTCGGAGTTTATCAACAAACTAGTAGTGAACTACAACCTCTCATTAGCCACCCAGCAAAAAAAAACAGAGAGAGGGGGGAATGGGATGGAAGATTGGAAGTAAATGAAAGTTCGTGCGAAAGAGACCCACAAGAACTGGGACCGGGAAAAGCAAAAACAGAACGGAGACGAGACCAAGGGCAGGGACCCGTCAACGGGCTAAAAAGCAGAAAGCTACTAAAACTAATCTGCTTTCTATCTTTGCTCTTTCGTTCGTTGCCCGAGTCGTCGGTCCAAAAGTCTCCCAGGGGAAAGGGACAAGAAGAACATATAGTTAGATAATTAAAAAAAAGACCATTAACCTTAGTATCTTACCAGGAATTGTTCAAACTAGAATAGATGAAAGCCAGAAACAGCGAACGCCAGTTTGAATTGTCCGTAGGCCATCACAGGAGGAGGATTGGATGGAAGGACGACGGCGGTCCCCGTTTCCTTGGCTCTACCTGTGATGATGAATTGGTTGATCGGAATTTAATTGGTCCGGTCTTTATTGGATGAATCACTCGGGTAAAGTGAATGCATTGGTAAAATTTCAATGGTCTTACACTGGTGAAACGAAATTAATGTGCAGACGACACGGCAAACAGAGGAGCGACATGATGACGTCCTCTCAGCAAAACAAAACAAAAACAGAGTGCTGACATTTGCCTTTTACCAAATAGTGGAGTTTGTTTTTTTCTCAATGGAGGGGGACGCCGGCTTAATTGAACGTGCCGTCGGGGTAAACCAAAGGATTCAATTCTGCCGCTTTTGAGTCAGTTTATTATATAACATCTTCCCGGTCCCCTGTTTCCTTCTTCACAACAGATAGAGCTAGGGATGGCAATGGGTCGGGTTGGGTCGGGTTTTGCCAAACCCAAACTCAAACCCATGGGTTTATCCGTGAAAAAAACCCGGGGTAAAACCCACTGGGTTTGAAAAACTCAAACCCAACCCAACCCAACCCGCTGGGTATCCGCAGGTTCATGGGTACCCACGGGTTTTTGTCGTAAAAAATTTACAATAACATGTTCCTATCAAAATTAAAGTCAAATATCAATCTCTCAATACAAATTATCCATATTTAAAACACTATTCTAGAAAATTCAAGCAAATCACAAATTAACTATACAAATTGTTCAACGCAATCTAGAAAACTCAAGAAAATTGAAGTAAATCATAAATTATCCATAAATAACATATTAATTGAAGGCTTCTTCCTTTCAATTAAGTTTTTTCACTCTCCACTCGATAACACAAACTTCATTCTACACAATTAGAAAGAAAAAATTAGACATGTCTTCACAAACATAAATAAGATTAGTTGTTTAAAATATTAAATATACCGAGAAAATTAATTATATGTGTGGGCGGGTACCCACGGGTCGGGTTTACCTAAACCCAAACCCAACCCAACCCGGTGAATAGTGAACGGGTTTAAACCCAAACCCAACCCAAAACCCGTCAACACGGATTTTACCCGGGTTGGGTCGGGTGGGTACCCGTGGGTTCGGGTTTAGTTGCCATCCCTAGACAGAGCAGGGCACCTTCTGAGAAGAAGTAACAGATCTGGGGGAAATGCTCACTGAGCTCTTTTCCATTGATGTAAAACTATATATATACAGAGGTTTAAAAATCTAATTACTGTAGTTTAGCGGCTAACAAAAACTAACAAATGAAACTACCAATGAATGCTATACACGTGTACTATCTACAGTTAAATCGGAACTAAAAGTTGTTGGTGGAAAACGCCACCGTTCCTGGCTGTACTTGAAGCAAGGCGCAGTCGTTTTGCTCTGCTCCTTGTTCTTCGTCTTGTTCTTCATTTCTGGAGCAGAGCTGCATACTTTGGTTGCTGTTGAGCAACTCGGATCACCTGGAGGTTGATCATCTCGCCTCTCTATTACCCTCCCACAAGCTGGCGAGTATATATCATATACTCCCAGCTTGGACAACAAAGATGCAAAGCGATCCACAGATAAGCTCTTGGTGAAAATGTCTGCAGGTTGAGAATCAGTTGATACATGATGTAGAGCAATCAACCCAGACTGAACCCTCTCTCTTATCACGTGACAATCCACATCTATATGTTTGGTTCTCTCGTGAAACACTGGATTTTCAGCAATGTGAATTGCTAATTGATTGTCACAAAATACCTTGACTGCTTGAGGATTTTCTACTCCAAAATCTTTGAGTAGTCTAATTAACCATTCAACTTCACAGCTCAAGCTAGCCAAGGCCCTGTATTCTGCTTCAGAGGAGGACCTGGATACTGTCTTTTGCTTTTTGCTCTTCCATGTAACAATTCCAGATCCAAGAAAAGTACAGTATCCAGTTATAGATTTTCTGGTATCTGGACATGTAGCCCAGTCAGAATCACTGAATCCCTTCAACTCGAGTTTAGTGTCTTTAGAATAAAGAAGGCCTTGTCCAGGTGCCCCTTTGAGGTATCTAAGCACTCTATGCAAGGCTCTCAAGTGTAAACTTGTAGGATTGTCCTGATAAGTGCACAACTGCTGCACAACAAATGCTATATCTGGTCTTGTAGTTGTTAGGTATTGCAACTGGCCTACATAGTGTTTGTAACTTGCAACATCAGCTAAAGGAATGCCCCCTGTAGCAGACAACACTTCCTTAACATAAATTGGAGTGGATGCTGGCTTGCAATTTTCAAAACCGGATTCTGTTAGAAGTTCTAGGCAATATTTTCTCTGAGAAACAGTAATTCCCTTTACTCCTCTTGTCACTTCCAGGCCAAGGAAGTATTTCATTTCTCCCAAATCTTTCATTTTGAATTCTCCTTGTAAGATCCTTTTGGTCTCTGTAATGGAATCCAAGTTCACACTTCCAATCAGAATGTCATCAACATACACAATGAGCACAACTAGTGCACCAAAAATTTCAGCTATGAAAATAGAGTAATCTGAGGAACTTTGCTTAAATCCATGCTTCAGCAAGCTTTCAGTGAGCTTTGTATACCACTGTCTGCTTGCCTGTTTCAACCCATAAAGTGATTTCTTCAAGTGGCAGACTTTGCCTTTGCAGTCAGTTCCTAAATCCAAACCATCAGGTATTTCCATGTATACCTCTTCTGTCAAATCACCATTCAAAAAGGCATTGCTTACATCCATCTGATGTAAGTGCCAATTCTGCACTGCTGCAACTGCAAGTAGGGTTTTAACTGAACTCAATTTAGCTACTGGCGAGAAAGTGTCACAGTAGTCAATGCCATAAACCTGAGTATACCCTTTGGCAACCAGTCTTGCCTTATATCTTTCAATTGATCCATCAGAATGAAGTTTCACCCTGAAAACCCATTTGCAGCCTATTGCCTTCTTACCAACTGGTAAATCCTTGGTTTCCCATGTCCCATTATTAATCAGGGCTTTCAACTCTTCCTGAACTGCCTTATCCCAAAGGGAATTCTGCATTGCTTCTTGATAAGATGATGGTTCTTTGTGTGAGGTCAGACTGTTTATGAAGTGTTGATGCTTTGGTAATAGGTGAGTGTATGAAAGGGCTCTATGAATGGGGTGAGTGACATGGTAATCTGCATGCCAGTTGGGTGGTTTGATAGTCCTGGTCAATCTCCTCAATTGAACATGGGATGGAGAGTGAGCATGACTATTTAATGGAATAGGAGAAAATGGTGAAGGTGTAGGAGAAGAAGAAGGGGTGTTTGGTGTGTTTTGTGAATCATCAGGATGAGTTTGATGTGAAAAAGAGAAATCTGGGGAGGAGGAAGGTGGACTTGAGGGAATGACAAAGGGAATTGGTGATTTAGGAGAGGGAGATGGAGGCTGTGTGCCCCCTTCAGACTGAGGATTCACAGGAGTTGGAACATCTGAAGAAGAAGAAGAATAAGATGTATTAGGGTTTGGAATAGAAGAAGGTGTGGGAAAGAAGGAAAAAGTTGGTGATGTAGTTGGAATAGGTGATGGAAGTGAAGAAGGGGAAGAACTGTGGTTGGCATATGGTAAGATGTTTTCATGAAAGATCACATCTCTGGAGAAAAACACCCTTTTGGTGTCAATGTCAAGGAGTTTAAAACCCTTGATCCCAGTAGGTATGCCAAGGAAAACACACTACTTGGCTCTGGGTGAGAATTTGGTTCTATGTGGACCAGCTGTGGAAGCATAGACTAAGCAGCCAAAAACTTTCAAGCTACTATAGTCTGGTGGAACACCATAGAGTTTCTCATAGGGGCTGAGATTGTTTAGAACTGGTGTAGGGATTCTGTTGATTAAATAGGCAGCATGGAGTACAAAATCACTCCAATAGATTAGAGGAAGGCCAGATTGAAATTTGAGAGCTCTGACAACATTAAGCAGGTGTTGGTGTTTCCTCTCAACCCTGCCATTCTGTTGTGGAGTGTATACCACACTCATTTGATGTTCAATCCCATGAGTTCTATAGAACTCATCCATGTGGAATTCCATTCCCTGGTCTGTTCTGATGATCTGAATGGATTTGTTAAATTGGTTTTTCACCATGACACAGAAAGACTGTAACAAACCCCTAGATTCATCCTTAGATTTCATCAAATAGGTCCACACACATCTACTTAAATCATCAACTATGGTTAAGAAATAGTTGAAACCATTGTAAGAAGTGGTGCTCAAAGGCCCCCAAATGTCTACATGTAGTAAACCAAACAAAGAGGAATGAACTGATGTGCTAACTGGAAAGGGAGATCTTTTCTGTTTTGACAAATGACAAATATCACAGTGAACAATCTTAGAAACTAATACATATGGACATTGTTTGTGTATAGTCTCTAATTTGGAAATGTATGGATGACCTAATCTGGCATGCCAGAGATCAAAAACTTGAGGCTGAAAATTGAGTTGTGAAGCAGCAAAACACTTTGGATTGGATGAGTGGCAGTCTTGAGAAATGGTTTGGATCTCATTGAATAGGTATAGTCCTTTATCCACTTGGGCTAAACCAATCCTCCTCTGTGTAATAAGGTCCTAGATGACACAGAAAGAGGATTTAAAAAGAAGTGAGACTGGGTTGGTTTTGGTGAGTTTACTGACAGAAACAAGATTGTAACTGAAACTTGGAACAAATAGGACTTGAGAAAGAAATAGTCCACAGGGAAGTCTAACTATGCCTATGTGTGTGGCCTGGACCTTGTTACCATTTGGTAAATTGACAAAGACTCCCTGTAATGACTTGCATTTTAAGAAATACTTCAGATCACAAATTATGTGATCTGTAGCACCTGTGTCTAAAACCCATGGTGGTTCCACTGTCCTAGATAAGAGAGTTGAGAGGACTGTGGTACCTGAACTCGAGGGAAGATAAACAGGGTGGTATTGCGTGGCTCCTGATTGATGCTGGCCAGTTTGAGACTGAGTGGTCACTGCTGCATTTGCCACATGTCTGACAGATGGTGATGTTGGTGGAGAAGGAGATGTTTGTGGTGAGCCAAGCAGCAGGATCCTCAATTTATCCATTTGATCATTGCTTAGTTGAAGACTGGCTAGGCCAATGAAATTGTTTCTGTTTTGTGCATCCTGTTGCACAGATGCTGCTCCAAGAATGCCTGAGTCAGATTCAGATCCTGTTTCAACTGAGCCAGCAAAGCTTGAGCCACCAGATTCCCTTGTTTTCTTGTTTTTCAGTCTGTAGCATTCACTAATGATGTGATTATCCTTCTTACAATACCTACAGAATTTCTTGCCATCCTTATAGTCTCTGTCATTGTGTCTGGCATTCTGAGGTGAACCAACTGCCAATGCAACTGAATCGACTC